ATTCTCTCATCAACGTCGACATGGTGATGATTCCGTTGCATCTTCTCCGTCCAGAACAAACGATCTAGGTAGGGCTTATTGTGTGGTTATACCAAGTAAAAGAAAGGTTAAAACCCCATTTTGGTCCCTGAACTATTGTACGGACCCCCGATTTGGTCCCTAAACTAAAAAAATCTCTGATTTGGTCCCTACTGTTTACCATTTTTACCTCGATTTGGTCCTTCCGTTAAATACCCGCCTACGTGTCTTGTTACTTGACGGAGAAAAGGATGACATGTTAAAACATTTTGACACCTATGATGTACAGCGTGGCAAAAAAATGAGATGGCAAGAAATTACTTTAAAAAATTTCTTTTTTTTTTCTTTGTTTTTCTTTTTTCCCTTTCTTCTTCCTCTTCCTTTCCTTTCACCTTCTGCAAACCCTAACATTTCCTAATATTAAATTCGAGGATAACACAACAAACCAAGATAGAAATCAATAGATCCTTCAATCCAATTGCAGTTGGGTTGGAAACAAAACCCAACGCTTGCTAGGTTTGAAATCGAATCCAACACCTGCAAAAATATGAGAATAACACAACAGATAACAAATCCATAAATAGATCAAATTCAACAAATCCATCGACCCAATGGCTGCTGAGTTTGAAACAAATGGAACTCAACAGATCAATAAACAAATGGAACTCAACAGATCCATGGGTTAGAAACGGAACCCAGTGTCTGCTGGGTTCGAAATCAAACCCAGCACCTTCGAACCCAGGTTGAACACAGTGCCTGCTGGGTTCGAAATCGAACCCAGCACTGCAGGAACCCAACGGCTGCTGGGTTCGATGCTAGGTTCGATTGCTTGCTGGGTTCGATTTCGAACCCAGCACCTATGCCTTCTTCATCTTCATCCACCTGCAAAAACCCAACGGCTGCCTTGCCTTCTTCATCTTCATCAATCAATTTCTCATATCATCAAACAACAAAACCCAAACAAAGAAAGCAGAAATTTCTATTTTTTTTTTGGAACCCAGGGCTGGGTCTTAAGGAACCCAATGCCTAGGTTTCATCGAACCCAAGCATGCTGGGTTCGGTGGAACCCAGGCATGCTGGGCATCGAACCCAGCGTCGAACCCAGGCCGCTTGGGTTCCACCGAACCCAGCACGCCTGGGTTCCATCGAACCCAGGCCACGCCTGGGGTTCGAAGGGGAAGGAAAAAGGAAAATTTTTTTTTTTTAAGTTTTATTTTTCATAATATTTTTTTATATTATTATTTTTTCCATGTCATCACTTTTTTTGGTCTTATTGTCTGCCATGTGTATTAATATTTGACATGTCATCCTTTTCCTGTCAAGTAACAAGACACGTAAGCGGATATTTAACGGAAGGACCAAATCGGGGTAAAAATGGTAAATAGTAAGGACCAAATCAGGGATTTTTTTAGTCTAGGGACCAAATCGGGGCTCTGTACAATAGTTCAGGGACCAAAATGGGGTTTTAACCTAAAAGAAATAATTTAATGTGCTTATACTATGATAAGAACATGCTAGAGGGTGGAATTATCCGAATGAAAGAACACCTTACCAGGTTAAGGGCCATGTTTCTTTTATTTAAAAGGCAAGTTGTAAGAATTCCTAAGGACATGCTATGAATTTGTATTTTTTGAACATATTTTTTATGTTTGTGATTTCACATTTTTTTGGAGTTAATCATTTGTTTATTTATTATATATTATTGTAAATTTATAGCTAATTTATATAACAATTGCAGTAAATCCAAAACAATATACAATATTTTTTGATACCCAATATGTATGGTTTAGTAAGCAAACTTGCACACTCTCTAGTACGAAAT